TATGCAATGAAACTATAATACCTATTACGTGACTTTAATGCAGACTGTTGATGCGAAAATAGCTTCTATGGACAATTTTCTATTTTCTGTTTTATCAAGTATTAGTTAGAAGTTATTATTATTACATTTTATTTTTTTAGGGTACATCAGGTTTCGAAAAGCATGTCGACCACTTGATGACACTCTCAGCTATTTTTAAAGAAGAAGTAGAAACAAGGGATGCCTTTGAATTAGTAACAGATTCGTGTTTTATAAATGTTTGTTTTTGGTTCATTCCGCCATCTTTGAGAAATCAGCATTCGTTATACAATTATAAGGAACGAATAAATGAAGTAATTATAATAATGTTTTTTCAAAAGAATATATTTGAAACAAGAAAAATATTTCTTGGACTAGAAAATTGCATTACTTTACATGATAGTGAAACAGACACAACACTATAGTTTTTTTTTTATGTAAAACGTTTAAGTTGTGTGTATATTCATCCTTTCTATTTAATATCGGTACGAAATACTCACTATTAATTATGATAACAAATCTCGTTAACGTTTATTAATTATAAATTCAATGAGAAGTTATAGTTATCCTCTACACGTGTTTAAAATAATATTTAAGCGTTGATAAAAGATTTGCATATCAGAAGTTAGGTCACTTTTTTCTGAGGTTTTCGTAGAATGAGTTTTACCATTAAATTTATTAGAAGCCTCTTTCTAAATAAATGTAACAATCAAGAGACATTCAAAAGTAATTCGTCGGTTAAAGAACAAATATTTTTTAATAACATATAAAACTGTTAGAGTGGCAATAGATATGGCAAGAAACTGTATTAGCGTCTGTGAATAATTATTCTCTCTTATTTATCGTCTGTAGGTATCTCACACTAATCGATAAATGATATTCCCCATTTACTGGCAATCGGTATACGAAATAGCGTATACCGAATAGTCAATTAATACTTATTTTATATACTTCATACAGTAAACTTAAATAGCTAATGATCTTTGGCGAATAAAAAATTAACTTATCAAATTGTTATTTTCGAATAGGTTGCACCAAAATTGAAGGAGAAGATGGTCAAGAGAGGCAGCTTAATGATTAACTACCAACCGCTTCATGAGAAACCAAATTTCTTTCGATTTGTAACTCAAAATTCTGGCGTGGATGTAAAGGATATTTATTATGTCTTTGACGAGTTAGAAAATCTTGGAGAAACCATGTGATTTTGTGCGAGGTGTGCGAAAATCGCGTACACGCATCCTAGTGTAAGAAAATATTCAATTTATCATTTCCAAAAAATAAACAGCTTCTATTGTATGGCTGATATTTAGTTTCCTTTTATTTTCGCTGTTTTTATTTCTAAAGATGTCTACGTCTTGAACGATTATTTGATGAACGAAATGAACGTTTCTTATGTTAATAAACTATAAGCATAAATTATTTCGTAATTATGCATATTATTTTATTATCTAAAAAGAAATTTACTATTAGTACTATATCATTTCGTAATTTCTGAATACATATTATCTTTTTAAATACTATATGCGGATTACTATCAATTCGATATTCCTCCAATATGATTGAAAGTTTTAACTATAAACCTAATTATCAAGAAGTGGGCATTCTCAATGTATTGATTATAATTTGATTTCCATAAAAAGAGAAAAAGAAGACGACGATGCGAAGCGAAGGTATCGTTTTTCAATCAAAATTATGCTAGTATTTTACATTCGCGGTGCTATCGGAGAGCAAAACGATGAATTCCGTGTAAAGACGTTTTACGTTCGACATTAACAGTGGTTTTAATTAGTTCTCAGCGAAAGAAATATCGAATTCCAGCCACGAAAATCAATTCCTTCGGGTTAACTAGGCGAAACCTAGCAGGCAGTTGATCTGATTAGAAGGGGGACCGACACTAAATTTCTGATGCCAAGGTACGAAGTCAATTCGTGACTACGTTCGTCGCAGAGCCCGCGGCGCGTCGTCGTCGCGACGTACCCGACAACTAATCCTGATACAAGTGACAGCATATAGAGAAGCCCTATGTATATCTATAGAACTGCGTTCGTCCTATGTAGAACATAATGATTTGCCACCGTTACTGTATCCCGAACTATCGTAAACGAGGGGACCTCGATGATGATCTTTTCGAATAAACCGTTCCGAGACGAGAATTTCATTCTGATCTGAAAGAATGAATTTCATAGAAAACTGTGCAAACATTACGAGAATTTTAACCCTTATATTGTTTTTCAGTTGTAAAGAAGTAATATTATTTTTGACTTACTGAAATTATTAATTATTAATTAATAAATTGTTATTCAAGTTAGCCATTTACTTCGATTGATTTTGAAAATTTACAATTTGCTTAAAACTAAAAATTTAGGAATTGTATTATGATCCACGCGTTGTTTGGAAAGCTAATTATAACGTAACGCTAAGTAAACGCAACTGGTATGTTTTACACGTGTATGTTACATATGGTATGTTGTATATTTTATATATATATAACTCGTGTAAAACATACCAGTTGCAATATTAATGCAATAATATATTTTATTTCTTTTGTGTAGAAAAGACGTAGTGTTCTAGAAAATTATTTCGATGATTTAAAAATTAGATTTAGAAATATATTGCAAACATTTGTTGCAGCGGGAAGGATTTTTTCTGGGATAGCTAGATATTTAAGAAGATACAGAATTATTGAAGTCACAGAATTTGACTAGAATCATACTTTCACATTTACAATTATAATGTCTTGTTCTCCTGTATTTAGGGGATTATTCGAGGAAATTAGATTACTTCGATACGTCGGGCGACATCACGACACTTGCTACATTTCTGTGGCTTTTTAAAATTTTATTGTTCAATCAAAATATTTGCTTTCCTTTCTTCTGGATCATATTGCATCCCTTGCAAAATTAAATATTACAATAGACAAATAATTTTTACCGAGAACAGAAGTTTATTCCTTAAAATCATACAAAACTTTGTTTTTGTATTTACAGTTCTCAATATTAATTTCATAAAAAAAAGTTATTCCACTTTTTCCTGGACTCCTGTATGGCAGGGATTATACATGTAATTAATGCTCATTTCTTTAACATGGTTTTCTACCATTTTTTCTTAAAAACGGGAGCAGATACTCAATCGTTATAATAAAATTGTTCAAATATTTAATAAAATTAACTGTTACAATAATTTTAAACTTTCATTTCTTAAATTGAAATATTATCTTTCTGTAAGAACGCAATTTTTATCACATCATTAATGTGAAACCATGTTTTATTTTTTCATGATAAGTAGTTAATCAGGCTTTGCTTATCGATAAATTTATGAATGAATATAATAAGGTGAAAAAAAGTGAAACGGTTTTTGTATTAAAAAGCGTAAGATGGCAAATGAGCTCTGGTTTTGTCTGAAATAGGTCTGTCGTATTATCAACAATAGTTTTAGTGACCTGTATCGTGAACGAGCTGTCTGTCATGCGTGTGAGGGACGTAATAGTGATCTTACGCACTAATAAAGCGTTCGCAGAGACGACAATAAAAATTCACGATGCGAGATCCACAAGTATTATTTGAGTTGTTCAACACTCTCTACGTGTGTTGAAGTTTACATTAAGAAAGAGTGGTGGCAATTATTGCCAGAATCAAATTAAAATATTTGCAACGGACGTCTTAAGTTAATTAAATGGAATATTAAAGTAGCGAGTACAAAATTAAAAACTAAATAAGTCTGCTTTTACCTTAATTGACAGATTTTCTGTATCGAATATTACAAGTGCTTTAATAAAGCTCAAAACTTTGATATCGCTTCGAAAACTTTTGTATGGATTCACCATGCAAGTCAGCATATAACACCGTGTATGGTTCAACGCATCAACGCATAATCATAGAAAATTAAATGGCCCAATAACTTCATTAACGTGTTAATGTGCCATCGTAAAGTCACATGGATTTTAGTTTAAAAGGGTATTTTTATCACTTTGATTTGCATTTTAGTCACGGCCGGCTCTCGTGTTAATGAAACAATTAATATTTAATCGCCGATATCACTAAACTCGACAAACAATTGGAACCATGCGAACGTATAATTAACTATAAAAACCACAGGCAACGATTATGGTAATTGAATGGTGTGCCTGATTAGCAAATGTCATGAGACCATGTTTTACAATGACCTATAAATTGCAAACTCAAACGATCCTGCATTAACATAATACGGTTACAAGTCTGCTAAACTTGTCAATGTAGTCTCATTGTTTTCAGCAAAGCCGTAGAAAATAGCAAAATTGAATCGTTGGCTCGTTTTACACATCAGATATACAAAATCAGTTCTACAATTTTAGATGAATAAATAAATAAATATATATATATAATATAAATATGTGTAATATAAATATATATTAATAACATTTATTGTTACTTATCTTCTGAAATATTTGTTCCACACATTTCAACTTCGTTTTCATGTTTTAGATCTCTCAGAAGTGAACCCACCTGCGAAATTAATACAACGTCTGGACAAAAAGTAATTAAAAGAATGGATCGATAATTGGCATAGTAAGGTAACAAGCCTGCTAAACTTGCCAATGCCATTCTCTGCATTTCGCCCCTACGTTTCCGCCGAAGTCGTAGAAAAATCGATTCGCCAGTTTCATATTTCCGATTTAAAATCGGTTTTCCAACATTCGATACATAAATTAATAATATTTTACGCATCGAACGTGTTTCATGTTTCCGCAAACAAATATTTTTCTAATATTTTTTTTCTAACCGTGCCGCCACCTTCGGATGTTCACAATGTGACATCATTTACGAACGTGTAACTAGAACATAGAGGGAAACTGATAAAAATTATCGATTAATAAATACGAAAAATAAATTTGTAAAATTTTCATCGAAGCATTTTTCAGACGTAGTTCGAGCGACGATTAAGATCAATCGCGTTCCGTGATAAATATACAAATATTCTTCGCTATACAGGTCTTGAACATGTTTTCTTTATCGTATTAAGATGGGGTGTGCGAGAAACCCTTTACAGGGAACTATGCTTGTGTGCTACGTTCCTGTCCCCGAGTCACTGCTAGGGGTGCTTGCCCTGCAGATGAACTTAGACAGTAGGTTGCTACCGTGAAAGACGGTGTTAACGTCGATAGCTACTATTCGTACCGTTCAGTAACCCGAATGTCAGTCGATATCTGTAAATTCGATGGCCAGGATGAGCAAGGTCTTCCAATTCACGTGCCTCAGGTATGTTTTTTTTCCTGTTTCCTTCGATAGTCCCCAGGATTCTTTTGTTTTTCGCCCGAGTAGATTACATTTTAAAAATAATACTCGCAGGCGCACTCGTTTTCACGCGACTTCGAATTTCTTCCTTTATTTATTCACTACTCCTTTGCAATTTGCACGCTTTTCCAACACAAAATACATTTCGAATTTAAGGTCTCGATTGTTCTGCGCAGACAATTTTCAACGTTTCCGAATATTTCACTGTCCGAGTTAGTCACTGACGTTACCCTCTGCCGCATTTCTATCGATACAACTAGAATTTTAATAGAAAGCGATTCATAATTTACGATAAATCGATAGTCTCTACTGCAATGATGATAACAGTTGTATCGAATGGTCGTAGTGGCATTCGGACGATCGTATACCAATGCTTACAATTTGTTTAATCTCTTGCTATTGGAAAAATTCGAGACGAAATGTAATAGTTTTCGCGACATCATTTTGTCTTGTATACTCAGCTATAGATAGAACGTTGGATTTTTAGTTTCGTTCTGATTACGGAAAATTGATCGATATTCCGAATGTTGGTAGGGCATCGACGTTAGTCTCCGTCGTCCTTCGAGCAATCTAGCAAATTATTAAGTTGAACACGGAATTCCCGTGTAAGCTCCGAGACGAACTTCGATTCGATGAAACTCTCGAGTGAAATCAAACGATAGATACCAAGGATTGTGTGGAAACATCCTGTGAAAAATCTGTTCTTTCATTCGACTGCAGTGGTTTCTTGCGAGTTTACAGTTTGACTAACGTCCTCCAATGAATAGTATCAAAATTTCTGGATTTATTTTTTAATTTCACACATCTGAATTAATATCTGACAGACATAAAACTGCTTCGAATATTTCTCTTTAATTATATTACGAAAGAAATATCTAGTTCAATTGTCAAATATTTTCAAGTCCCGCGTCCTACGTCATCAATGAACACTTTTTGAAAAATATTTCGAGCATATCAAACATTTTTATTTCCTTCACTATCACGAGCTGCTGCTTCGCTCCTAGATTGTATCAGACGTAGACTCATTTTTGGAAATTGCTTTCCAAACGATTGTTTCTACATCGTTTAAGATAAAACTTCAGCTTTTCCCATTTATTTTTGTATCGTTACCGCAACTCTAAATATTTTCTTCACTTTTATGAACGTTACGTGATTCAAAATAATTCAGTGGATTATTTCTTCACTCTTTAAAGAACGTTGGACTCTTGGAAACGTATCGATACGTTATGGAGGATGCGGCAGGTAATTTATCTTAACATTAAACATTTTTACTTGAGCGTTGTTCGTTATGTTGATTGTACCACATAGTTGCTACAATTGTGATGTATAAACAATTTACTTGTCGTACTAGTTGGCTTCTGGTGCAAAACATTTCCAACTTGTACATACTTTGATTCTTGTCGTACAAACTTGTAATTAATTCATTAACTTATAACTGACAGAAGATGATAAATTATTACTTTTTTTTTCTTCTTTTTCACTGTTGATACATTTCAATGATGGATCTTGCATATATTCTAAACAGTTTCATAAATTGATGAGATTGGCCTAACGTTACAAGATATTGATAAAGTCGTGTTGATAAAACATTTCATTTGTCTTTCTCCGATTTCTTTTCTAGATCCTCGGGTAGCGGACTGGTTCTTAATGGGTAGCCCAGTTCCATTGTTAGGAATTATATCGCTTTACCTCGCGTTTGTCCTTCGTCTTGGTCCACTTTACATGAAGAACCGAAAGCCGTTCAACTTGAACAAGCTCATGATATTTTATAACATTTTTATGGCGACCGCAAGCGCTGCTGTATTTTATGGGGTAAGAATAGGATGAACTTCCTGTCGGTTCAATTATTAATAGCACGCAGCCCGGACTACTGTAATTTTTGTTAGGCACATAACAACGAAGTAAAACGATTTGTGCGCTGCGATAAATCTGTTTCACACGAAGAAATATGTTCGAACAGAAATCAAACAGTTGAATGTAAAAATTGCGATTTTAAACGATAACATGCTTCTATTCTGAATGTTAAAAATTTGAATTTCATCGCAGTTCGTCGGCATGTTTGCAATGTTAATAGTATTTTATATTTTGCAGTTTCGCGAAACGTTGATTATTGCAGCCGACAAATAAATAAATTTCCGATGTAAACAACGGGATGAGAAGTTGTTATTAAAATTATACTTGCTTTTGTGCTCGTGAATTCGTTAATAAAATCGCACACGATTCTGATGCTTCTCGTTCTGAGAATACACGATGCAGCTGCCGGAAATATTTCTAACGTTCAAAGTTCAATATCGAAGTTTTCGAAACGAAGTATGCCGTGTAGATACTGCTTGATTCTCGAGTGCAAAAGTTTAATCCCTTTCACGGCTAAGCCTTGTTCGTGGAAGGTAGTAATGGTGTGCGTTAATTACGGCTTCGATGTTATACATCGGACCGGAAAGTGTTTTCATTTACATGTTATAATCATGTAGATGTTAAAATTTACATTTTTGTAATTTGTCGCAGTAATTAATGGTTTCAAAAAAAAAAAAAAAATCATTTGAAGTGAACGGCTGGCAAACATTCGGATAATATTAAAATGCAGCGGATTGATGCTTTGAAAAAGGTTAAAAAGGTTCCAAACTGACAATAGAAAAGGGAGAACAATTTTTCGTCTTGTAACAGGTGACTGTGACACAATTCGATTGGGGATTTTCGATACATTGCATTTCAGTTTTATTTTTTTCATCGAGGTTGAAATTCCATTGCAGCGTTTAAAAACCTTTTGCTAAAATTTCACGTTTGGAACTACATCAGCGATTTCATCGTTTCGAGTAGCATTTGTTCAATTTACGATTCAAATAGCTGTCCAAATTTACTTTTTTACGTATACACTTGCGATAATGAAAATCAATTTTATTGGAAACAATTTAGCCTGTACAAGAAAAACTATTACATCATAGTTCGATGAACAGATTAAAGAAATAGAGCGCCACGGATTTCATGAAAACAGTATGAACGTGCGATGCCGAGAAAATTGCTGCTAATGAAGGGCTCTTGGAAAACATCGATTTGTGCGGAAATAAAATGTTGCGCAAAAACATCCCACTCGACGATTTGGTTCCATGTTTACGTGAATGACTAATGAATATTTTCGATTCCCCGTTGACCTTAGTTTGCATAAATGAAAAACGCTTAGTATTGATGAAATCTGCTCCTGCGAAAAATTCAATTTAATTGGAATCTGTGACAAAAAATAGCGTGTTACCGTATCGCTAAAAGCTCTGATTACATTCGTTACTTTACTAAACAATTATACCACTCCACGATGCTCTCTACTCTATTTAACAATCATATCGCTTTATAATACTCTACTTTAACAATTGAATATGAAATTTTTTCAGCTTCTTACGTCTGGTTTCACTACGAAATTTTCTCTGGGATGCGAAATTCATGTCGTTTCGCACGATCCTGAGTCATATCGCGTGAGTAGCCTCATTATTAGACTGCAGATTTTTATGCGGTAAATATGAAGGAAAAGACTACAACGAAGCATATACAGTTCTACGATACTAGAATGGCCTAGAAACAAATGTTAAAACAAATTAATGCAATGATTAGCACTAGATTTACGAAGCGCAAAAATTCAGCTGTTTCATATCAGTTTATAAAAGTAACAATAAGACATTTACTTTGATCTTGAACGAATGTTACTGTGATATTTGCAATAAGTAACGTATAAATTGAATAAATAATTCATAAATGTACCTTTGCGATACGAATAATCGTAAATTAGAAACATTTCGACGGCTCTCGTAAATCTAGCGTTAATGTCGTCAAAATTTCATTTTGCGTAAACATTCGCAGTCCGTTCATCACCGATATAATTTACGATACAAAGGTCGCATGAATGAGATGCTTACTCTTTCTAACAGATGGCACGATGGATATGGAGGGTTTTGATACTGAAGCTGTTCGAGTTGGGCGACACGATAATCTTCATCCTCAGGAAGAAGTTCAACCAGGCTACCTTCCTCCACGTTTACCACCACACCTCCACAGTTCTTCTCTCCTGGATAACGTGCAAATTCGTACCAGGTAAATCTGCATGCATCAACCTAGCGTTGTTTCCAATTCCAATCCGTTGAAACTCGATTACTTTTATTTATTGATTTCATTCCGGCGTTGTTCTCTACACTCGATTCGATAAAAATCAAATTATTTGATCAATACCTTCCAAACTAAATTGACAAAAAAAGAAAAAAAGAAACAAATGAGAAGCATGTGACGAAGCTTCCAATAATTATAAACGAAATAAAATATATTTGTTTCGTGAGATTTTTGTTAACACGTTGATCACCATGCAGCGTGCAGAACAGGCGCAACAAATTAGAACTTGCAACTCCTTGAAAGGAGTCGCTTGCGATGACGATATAAATGTATGTGTGTTATTAGTTTCTTTTGATCTGGAATAATAATAATAATATTCTACTCTTCTCTGTTATCGATCTTTAACTATCCTTGATTGAACTTATTTGACAAAGAAGTTGTAACTACTGTAATTGTAGGATAAATGATAAGGGATTATTAATGTAGGATTAGAAAAATCATGATTTATTGCAGCAACTGCTTTAATAACATTCTTTCGTCACGTAAACCCTAACGAAGTTTGTCTCATTCGATTGGTTGCACTTAAAATAAATTGTCAAGTTAATACGTTGATGACATATGAGTGACATTAATCTTGACTTGTTTTCAAAGTTCATTGTATTAGGTTGGTGCGTATGAAATGTCGGATTTTTAAGTGAATATATGAAACTGCATATCTTTTTTCAAAAGCTGTTTATTTAATCAAAACATGCTCTGTTTGCTTCGATACACTTTTCCCAACGAGATTTTAATACATAGATGCCTGTCTTAACCCCTTAATGCACAATTTAAAAAAAAAAAACCGACCAAAAAAAATCAATTTTTTTTATCTAAGGAAATATACATATTTGGACCTTAATTTCAATAAATATGTAAAAAAAATGCAAAAATTACTAAAAATTCAATAAAAATAGTGGATAAATAATTATAGTGAATATTGAATCGCATTGCAGATCGAATTTTGTACCCATCGTACTGTTTTTCAATTAATATAGGTAACATAACATAAGTTGCGACGCCGACCGTATATATACGGGTCTGCACATTTTGGCCGGTTTTGCACGTCCGTGTTAATACGTTTCTGCGCGTTAAGGGGTTAAAGAAATTCTGATCTTTAGAATCAGTCAATTCTGATATAAAATTTGTCAGACTGTCTTCATTTTCATACTGTTTAGCCCGTAAAAAACTGTTCTAAATGTTTAAAAAAAAAATGAAAGTCGTTTGGCGAAATATTCGGCGAATAAACTGGGTGCTGCGAAATTTCATATTTCAATTCATTTAATTTCGCAATTGTTTTGTACGACGTACGCGGCCGAGCGTTGTCATGGAGAAGTATTGAACCATGCCGATTAACAAGCGATGGGCGTATAATGTTCAATTTTTCATGCATTTCATCAATGTACCGGCAGTACTTTTCGGCTGTAATTGTCTCCCCGGTTCGAAGGAACGAGTAGTGAATTACTTCAGTCACATTCGTTTCCACCAATGCTTTCGGAGTATCATTTTTCACAGACGTTTTGGGTCTTCCACGTGGTTCACTTTGTAGGGAAAAATCACCAGACCGAAAATTTTCAAACCAACGCTACACTTTTCGATCGTTAACGGTATTCTCCCTAAACGCCTGGTTTATATTGCGTGCAGCTTTTGCAGCATTATTACCAAATTTATACTCGTATAAAAAAAATTATATATATATATATATATATATATATATATATATATATATATATATATATACGAATATCGGTTGAATTCATATCCTTACGAAATTCAAAACAAATAACAAAATGGAACACTTTTGAGAAAATTTTCTTTGTTGAAATGTGACTCTGGCAATGGACAGTACACATGATTCAATATACATATCAAAAACAATAGCATAACGAAAATTGGGAGACAAACGTTCACGTGTAAAGAAAATCCGACATTTCATATGCACCAACCTAATAATGTATTCGACCAAACTCTGAAGAGTTAAAATACCATTCTCTATGATAAATTTTAACTTCCCAGTTTTTGTTTTTTAGTTTCATCAATCAAATTAACGTGTTTACGATCGAAATTTTTGTTGGTCCGTGAATTCCCACGCATTTCTTCCGATTCGGGAACCGTGTTGTTCGCAGGCGGCATGTGGACGTTCCCGATTATGCCGAACTGCATAGTGCACGTGATTATGTACACCTACTATCTCCTTGCTTGCTTGGGCCCGGAGATGCAGAAGAGGATCGCGCCTTGGAAACAATACATTACAGGATTACAAATGGTACGTTCCCATTTTGTATCTGACTTCACTATCTGCCGGCGCGGAGGTGCGTCGAGTGGTGCATAGAGCTCGAAATGCATACATATATTGTCGCGTGCTGTTCGTTGCGCTGACTGAATTGCCGTGCTGGAAGCGTTATTCGCTCATTTCACCGTGCACGCGTCCCCGTATCGCGTAACCGTAAAATTACATTCCGTCGTGCGGTCGGTCGAATTTTTCGAAAGTGGAATTGTTATTGACGTTTGGCCCGCCGTGTACCGGGAACACGGTTAAAGGAAATTAATCTGCACCAATAACGCATCGCGATGAGAAACAACGGGGCCATTGAATGACTTTTCGCTGGAACCCGGTTGCGGGGGCGTTTTCAGAAACGCCGAAATTATGTTGTCGTTACTCTTCCACTGCAATTTTTGTTCCAAGTAATTGAAAGCTGTTGGAAGAACCCGTATTTTTTAATGTGCTGCTCGGTGGTGTTTTTTTCTACTTTCTTTTTTTTATGAGCGTTAACTAAAGCTCTTCGATGTTGCTTCTGCATGAGACGTAATTGTTTATTATTAGTCTGCAGATCTCGCTAGGAAATAAAAATCTTGCGCATTGATTGCAACAGATTACTTCCTCTAGTATTATAGCTGCATATATAGTTCACAGTCTAAATTATTATATTTGTTACTATAATAATTTAATTTCAAGTTTTAGATTTTAGTGGGAATACTTTACGAGAATTATTGCTTCAATTAAATGATGAAATATTCTTCATCAAATGATAAAATGACACGTACGTTATTTAATAATTTAATCACAAATTTTTAGTTCAAGAAAAGAATGAGAGGAATATATTGATATTTTATCATCGTATTTGCTTTCGCTTTTTCATTAGTTCATGAAAATATTTTCCGCGTCCGATTTACGAATATTTAGTTTATTCGATCTTGTTTTAAAAACATTTACTTTGGGAAAAAGGTTCAACCATTTTCTTGGACATTTTCATCGATTTCAGATATACCTTTACATTTTCAAAAATGTATAAGTTAATTTTCCCGAAAAGTGTATCGATTCGAGCAATAGTCAAATATTCAATAACTTCTACAGAGTCGATGGTTCTAGCTGCAATAAAATTCTTTATGTTTCTACTAGCTTACAAAAAATTGTAGATGGAACATATGTAGCCGTAAAATATAAACGTCAGAAGGGACACGAAAATAATATTTTTTCGGAGAAATATCGAAGCGACGAGGGCGAATCCGATTGTTAAAACAACCCTTTCGCTTCGATTTGAACTTGCGTTTTCAAATTAGTCACTAT